AGAAAAATAGGTATTTAAAAAACGGCATATTAATTTTTGTCCCTACATGATTGCTTATATTTTAATTAAATCAAATTTTACTATGATCTGTTTGGCAAAGTGAACCATAAATATGAATATAATAGAACTTTTCTGGTAAAAATAAATTTTTTTTGAACAAACATTTAATTTATTATTTAACAAACAAACCCGACCTGATTTTTTTCAAGTTTTATTTATTCAAACTGACAAAAAATCAGGTCTGGTTTAAAAAAATTAATTAATATTGTGAATAGAAAACATTTCATCCTGTATATGATTTTTGAAAACTCTTAACAATTTTATAAATAAGGCACAAAGGCAATTCAAATAACATACTTTTTTCCCCAATTTACAATTAAAAAATCAAATTGTACTAGGAATTAAAAGTTTAGCAAAGCGAATTTAGATTTAAAAAAATGTAACTTTTCTTGCAAAATTAATTTTTTAACAAATATTTAATTAGGCCTAATTAGGCAAATAGACAAATACAATGGCATATTTATTTTTTCTCCACACAATTACTTAATTTTTAAATAAAAAAATCAAATTTGACAATGTTTGGAAACTGAATCACCAATTGAATGCAGGTAATTTTAGATGTTAATTTTATTTTTCAATAACTCAAACTTAAAGCTGATTATAACTGTAGCATGTTCTTTTGAGAAAAATTAAAATACAGGGTGTTTCAAAAAGGTATGTCATAAATTAAATCACGCATTCCGGGGACAAAAATAAATTGATTAAATCCAACTTACTTCAGTACAGAAGTGTCCACAAAAAAAGTTACAGCCCTTTGAAATTACAAAATAAAAATTGTTTTTTTTGCATCTCCTAAACTATTTGACATTTTGTAATAAAAATGGACACATTACTTTTTTTAAAACCGGACCTGATTTTTCCAATTTGAATAAAACAACTATTATTTTAAATCCAGACCTGATTTTTTTATGTGGTAGTAGTGTAACGAAAGCAGTGACCAATATGTAGAACACATCGAACCTACCGTTCGAAAGTTATGATGAATAGAAATTTCATCCAAAAATCACAACTCACCCTATATATTATTAAACAATTAAACATTTGTTATTTCCTATAGTGGCTTCATTCCCATATGAGGTAAAGCAGGTATGTACAGTTCCTGATGACTAACCCTTGTATACATATCTACCCTTCATAAATACCCATCATAATTATTCTAAATATGAATTTATACGTTAATATTTGTCTACGTTTAAATAACAAAAAAAATAAAGTTTTACTTACTTTTATGTATGTATTTTCTCCAAGACCCTTACATCCAGTATAATGCTTGTGTAATATTTTGGTTTAAGCATCTAGATGGTATTGGTTTTATAACGAACTTTGGATTACCCTGCATGTCCCGCTATATACTGCACAGCTCATTACACAATAATGCACATATGCTCTCTACAATTTTTGTTTGAAGATACAGTAAACATGCATAAAAAAGAAAAAATGGGAAAGTACTGTTGGCAATGTAAATCTTCTTTTGGGGAAAATATGTACATACACAATATAACAGTTATGTTCGAAAAGTAATTATTTTACCTGAAATATTTTGTCGTAACCGATGTTTAATAATGATCATTTTAAACACTTACCAAAAACATAAAACAAATACTGTTTTCCTTCTTTGAAATGGTTAGATGATATACAATATCTTCAAGCAAAAATTATTTTGACCTTTTATGTTTAATTTATTTAAAAAAACCATGATATCAGAATATGGATTATCAATAAATATAACATTTATGTATCGGTAACTGACATAAATAAACTAAATAATTATTATGTACAATTGATATATGAGACCAAATCAGACACGCACTTCATGTAACAAACTTTAAGTCTTTTTGACTAAACACTTTAAAACAGCTGGGGTAGCTATGTTTTATATTATTTAGGAAATAAATTTAGGATCCCAGAATAGTAGAAAATATAATTTTTTATTTTAGACGTTATTAATGGTTTCAATTTCAGTCAGATCCTCTTTGTCCAATTGGTGACATGGAGAAAATTAAAATTAATCCTTGTTCCACTACACTCACTACTACTACTGTGAATCATTCTTAAAATCAATTAGTTTTAAATGACATGAGGCTTCCACGATTAGCGTTAAAAAATCAACCAATCATCTTCAGGGTTTGGGTCGAGTCTATTTTTAACGACCCGGCCTTGGGTCCATCCCAACATTTCTTAATTGTTGTATGTAGTTTCTTTACAAGCAAGTCAGACCGAAGGACGCAGTAACTTAAGTACTCAATATACGCAGAGGTGTAAGGTATATCCTGTATTTCACCAAGTATTCACATTCTACCAAGGGTGCGTTGAGTACTTAAGTTACTGTGTACATCTACAACTCATCAACAGCCTACTATGCTCCTGAAAAAGATACAATAACCCAGGCTGTGGGGAAAAAAGGGTGATTTTACACTGTAATCCAGGAATTTATGTAAAGTGGCCTAAGTTATAAAGGTTAACCTCAGGAGCAATCCCCAAGTTCATTCAACAAACAATTTTTCTTCTTCTTGCATTACCGTCTCCTATCGGAGATTAGCTACCATCACAGCAATCTTTACTTTGTTGGCTGCAGCTCTGAACAACTGTATTGGACTGCACCCACACCACTACCTTAAATTTCGCAACCAGGAAATCCTCCTACGTCCCACATTTCTCTTTCCCGAGATTTTTCCTTGGATTATGAGTCTAAGCAGAAAGTACTTTTCTCCTCTCATTATGTGGCCCAGATATTCCAGTTTTTTCGTTTGTATGGTTTTTATGACTTCGTATTCCTTCCCCACATCCAGCAGAACATCTTGATTTGTTACTCTTTCTGTCCATGGTATTTTCCACATTCTCCTGTAACACCACACCTCGAATGCCTTAATGTTTTTGATGTTTATCTTTTTCAGTGTCCAGGCTTCCATGCCGTACAGCAGAACGGAGAAAACATAGCACCTTAACATTCTCGTTCTTAAATTTATATTTATGTCCCGGCTGCATAGGAACTTTTTCATTTTGACAAACGATTGTCAAGCTATCTCTATTAGCCTCTTGATTTCTCTTGTCTGGTCATTAGTATCAGTGAAGCAAACCCCTAAATATTTTTAGTACGTAACTCTTTCAACTGGCTGATTATTTATGGTTAAATTCACATTGGTGTATAGCTTCTTTTTTACAATCATGAATTTAGTCTTTTTGATGTTCAGTTTTAGACCATACTTATTGGTATGGGTGTTTTTTTCCATCAAGAACTGTAAATTTGCTAGGTTATCTGTTACTATTAGCGTGTCATCAGCGTATCGTATATTGTTAATTAACTCTCCGTTAATGTTCATACCAATGTTATACTCTAGGAGCGCTTCCTGACATATTGTTTCGCTATATATATTAAATAATAGTGGAGAAAGCACACAACCCTGACGCATACCTCGACGAATCTCAATTTCTTCGGTTAACTCATTATCAACTTTGATTTTCGCTGTTTGTCCCCAGTACAACCTGGATATGATGTTAATGTCGCGACTGTCGATGTTTTTGCTTCATAGGATTTCATACAGCTTTCGGTGTCTGACTTTATCGAAGGTCTATGAAACCTACGTAGAGGTCTTGCTTTACATCCAAACATCTTTGTATTAACACACTCAGACCAAACAAAGCTTCCCGTGTTTCCAGTCCACCTCTGAATCCAAACTGTATGGCTCTAAATATTACGTTTTTTAATTTTGACCTTCATTCGTGATTTTTGCAATAACAAATTAATTAAACTGAATGTATACCGACTCAACTTGAAGGTCTTTTAAAGTATTATAGTTTATTCGTCTTCCGGGTTTGGACCGTGTCATTTGTGAGTGACCCAAAAGTGGGTTCATCTTCGAGATGAACGTTCATCATCGATCACGTTCATCATCGAGATGAACCCACTTTTGGGTCACTCACAAATGACACGGTCCAAACCCGGAAGACGAATAAACTATAATTCTGACTCTGGCCGTGGAAGCCTACGATTTCATTTGTCTTTTAAAGTACTTTCATAATCTATACAGAAATTACCCATTACAACACTTACTTTAAGCAAAAAATGAAAAAAACTCAAAAAATACGTATTTTGCACCTATAAACGCTTATAAATAAACAATAACCAAAAATTTTTTTGTTAAATGAACTGGGGAATTGCTCCCCCACTGAGTTTGCCCTTTATAACCTAGGCCACATTACATAAATTCCTGGATTACAGTGTAAAATCACCCTTTTTTCCCCCACAGCCTGGGCTATTCTTTCAATTCACGGATCAGTTATCAAAAGTCAACCTTTCATTTTAGATATATTACACATGGGTTAATTCGCCTGCCCATTAAGAACGCGTGAACAATTAGCTGTTTTTTATATTTAAAAAATGATGTGACGTCCATTCGTTTAACCTTTTCAATATGTAATGCTACGCAAGAACCTTTAAACCTTTATCTCATGAAGTAAACTTAGAATATATCAAATATCGTCTACAACTAGTTGTATTTTATTTCTCTTGTTTTACTTTTACAAAACCGTTTTGTAGCTGTCAGATGTTCTTAACAATAATTCGAGAGCGATGAAGTATTTGGCCTTTATTGGTTGGATTAATAAGAAATCATCAAAAATTCTTTAATACATTTTTCTCATATCACCAAATGGATGTAATTGTGTCTAACTTATTAAAAACCATTATGTCTTTGTTATCCTAACATTACAGATTTAGCATAAAACGTTTCTTAGGTTTGCTATAAAAAGTGCTCCATCTGAGTTATGCATTTGTACAGTCTTTACAGAGCAATAAAGTTGGTGCAGTATATACGAAGCCCCAAACCCAACAAAACGCTAAATATATTTTACAAAAGCTGCCTTTAATATTCGATTTACGTTCGATACTATATCTTAGTCGGTTCCTAAAGCTGGAATTCATTGTTAAAAATAAATTAGTACACAGTATAAACCGGCTTTATTGAAATATATACCTTTGTTGTTGTTTTTGGATAAACACGTGATAGCTAGAATATAATTGCTTACACGTAAGTGTTGAAAACAGACACGATTGCTCGAAACGTGTATATAATTGGGCTCAGTGCCGAAATTACTAAGACAGAGCAAGTATATTTATAGGTTTATAAATAAAGCTTTTCACAGAAGCCAGAGCAGTCGCAATCTATGAAATACATTAGAAAAATTATAATAAAAAACTACTCCTTGCTCAGGCTTATTGTGAATCACCTAGTATATATATCGAAACAGTTTGGCGATTATTAAGAATGTATCGTTATAGCGCTCAAAGCTTGTAATATTATATATAATAAATGTATACATGTATAAATGAACTGAAGATAATAATATCGAGCAAAAATTAAGTAATGTGGCCTACTAACCCACAGACGCAGCGCATTTCTAGAGCACAGCACAATATTCATTTTACAAACAGTTCAACAATTATATTACTTTGTATGTATCGCATTTTATAGGGATATACATATTTGAACATATACATCGTATATATTATGTAAATAATCTTGAATATACATGTCGTTGGCAACCGACACAGAATACAATTGACTCTTAGTTAGTGTGCATGCGGTAAAAAATGATAAAAAGTTTAATTTCAGTACCACTAACCTTTATCTCTAATACTAAGAGTAAAATGCTATACATACAGCTGGACTACATTAAGCAACCAAATAGTATGTACATAAGATACAAACTGGGTACTGGTTAAGTTTACACTATCTAGTGCTAAGCTAGTGATTAAAATGGTTGGATAGGGTCAGTTGTCTGTCGGTAAAAGGAATTTTCGGGATAGTTTGCTACATCTGGCACCTCACGTCTACTGCTAGCAGCTTTGTCCGGGCTGCAGAGTTTAGTTTCGTAATGCCCGCCTTGGTCTTTCTGCTCAACTTAATAATAACTTAACATCTAAACCAGAAACAATAAATCTTTCCCCTCACGAGAGAAAACATTGTCGTTTTTGTGCAAATAAATGCTTTCGAATTAATATAATAAATGCATTCGAATTAGTCATAATCTCATAAGATAATTATTAATAAAGGAGTGGAATTAAAACAAATATGTCTTTATACAGACATCAATGTATTTAATTAATTAATATAATACAAATTTATGAGTTTATAAAATAAAAAAACGCGAGAATGAATCAATCAAACACTTAATATATTTAAGGTTAAGATAAATTATATCTAAAAATGAATATTGGATTGCAATCTATACTGCATCCTATTATGCGAAAGAATGACCATATTGCGGCGGTACAAATGCGATTTTGACCTCTGCGGCCAGGACTGACAACACTATATACGAGTTTCATGCACGGGCTTAGGCAAGTCCGAATTGTTTAATGCGGTTGAGGCAGCAACAACTTCTGCAGGGGAGCTGGGAGAGTGGTGGGCAAAATGCTGATGGTGGGAAGGTATTCTCAAGGTGTTGGGAGACAAAAGACGTTGATCGTCACGTTCATTTGTCTTGTTGGCTTGTTGTGGAGACAGCTTGGTAGCAGGATCTTCGTCAATGTATGTGATGTCTGACAGGGGGCGCGGTGGCCAGGGGCCTCCGGTATGGCTCCTTGAGCTGCGCAAACTGTGTAAGCTGTGTAAACTATGTATGGACCGTCTTTCCTCCAGATCCTCCAAAGTTGACTTGAAAGCTCTTATTACTCTTAGCTGCAAACACAGGGAAGCAGGGTATTCGTCAGCCTGGGTATTGCATGCGTACACACGCGACATGCTTCACATCACAACATACATACCTTATACGCACAAACTCCCACAACTTGATTCTAAACCCAGAAAACGAAAAAGCCAACCTACCAGAGCTTTACAAATCAATCTTCACAGCTGTCTCTACTTTAAACTAATAGTAGATTTCTGAAAACCTTCATGTTTCCTTCGTAGAATAGTTAAATACTTTGCATAAAAGCGTACTTATATTGCCCTTATTAATTTTAAATTAATTTAAATATTTCTTACTCTTATTAAATGTCTTACTCTTATATTATAGGTACATCATACTTCTCAAAGACAAAAAAATATATTGACACTGATTTTAGTGTTAATAAATCCAAAAAATATTGCTTGTTATGATCAAGTTCTTATAATCAAGAAAAACCAGAATGGTGTCTTGGGATTCTCTTTTAAACTCGTTTAAAACACTTAAAAGCCAGACATAATGCGAGATTGTATTCGCTTATAATTATTGTAATCGATTATATTCGATTGGCTTTTATAGATTATGAAAAAGCTTTTGATAGCGTAGAACTGTGGGCAATAGAAGAAGCATTAGTCAACAACCGCAAATACATAATATTTACGAAAAAGCTGAAATGATAGTGATATTGGGTAATGGAATCGACACAAGACCAGTAAAAATCAACCGAGGAGTAAGACAAGGAGACACAATATCTCCAAAATTATTTACAGCTGCCCTAGAAAATATCTTTAAGTCAATAGACTGGTAAAATAAAGGAATCCCTATTAACGGAAGATACTTGAACCATCTTAGATACGCAGATGATGTAGTACTAATGGCTGACACGTGGAACGCACTGAATACGGTGATTGAGGAGCTACACACACAGAATCCCTAAAAAATGGACTGAAAATGAATTTCAGCAAAACTAAACTAATGTCAAACAAAGATGACAAACATATGATAAACATCGAAAGGACAGAGATAGAACACATAGATGAATATACATCTGGGTCAAAATGTCAAGGTAAGCAAAGGAAATCAGACTACCGAAATAAGCAGACGTGTAAAAATGGTATGGGCAGTAAAGTTCCAACGATACATTCTTTTGTGCTTAGAGGTCGTTCAAGTATTACGTAACGCAATTAGGGAGAGGGCTCTTGTGAAACGTTAAGGTGCCTTGCATGGGAGGGAGGAAGGTTCGAACAATGCGTTACCTAACTTTTTTACTCAAATAAAAAAACTATGGAATTAAAATCTCCCAAGTTGACGATCTTTTTCGTTCATGTTTTACAGGAAATTCCTCGATTGTATTGTACAATATTGCTATTTTGTTTCTTTTGTTTATGTTTGACAGAGTCTCCTTCACAATCGCCTTATAAACAATGTGTTCTGGGAAAAGCCAGATGGAAGAAGGTATGTAGGGCGGCCTAGAAAAAGGTGGAAAGATGCAGTCAGAGAAGATCAAGAGAAGATGGGAGTGCGACAATGGGAATTACTGGCACAGGACCGACAAACATGGAAGGCAATAGTAAACGCGGCAAAGACTCACGAAGAGTTGTAGCGCCATTGATGATGATGATGATGAGGGTCTCCTTCGACTGTATTGTACGTCCTTTTTATTTTGCTTTCCTTATCAGTAATACACAGAAACATGTTGCTGTAGCCGGTGTTGTTAAATTGAGTTCATATTGTAGCGTCACAAAAGTTTAAAAAAAAACGTGAAAATTGATACGATGTTTCGGTGGAATAAAAAATCCTGAAGATAGATTGCAGGATCCAGCAGAACCTAATCTGGCATGGTATAGCACTCACATCCGTAAATCGCAATATTTCTAGGAAGTGATTAAATGTACGGACGAATGCTGCTGTTGCCTCTCGAGGAGTGCATTAAAATCTGTATTTCCAGATTTCCTGCAGCCAGCCTGCCCAAGCGTTCAAATCTCAAGTAAGCTCTTGGTACCTAGTAAAAAATCATGCACGATTTCACCTTGTTCGTTGATCTATTGCCTTCACTGAAAGCATTTAGAATATGAGCAACCGGTAAGATCTATTTCACATCCCGCAATAGTGCATCCCACAGCGACTTTGCTGCCAAAAGAGCAAATGAAGTTATCTGTATTGTTCGCTACAATAAAACATCGTCTGAGGATACCGATTGGCTCAACGAAGACGAAGTTTATGCAAGTGGATTCATAATGTCGGATGTCAGTATTGAAAGAATATGAGTGGCTGACAAACCTCTTTCTTCCGTTTTTATTAACAGAAGATTTAGGAACTCCATCAGTATAGTTACGCCATAAACCCTAGAGCAGATATTGGATCTAATCACAACCCTTTGGTCGCCGATATAAAAGAAAAAACATCAGCAAAATAATTTTACAGTAAACAATTACATGACAGAAATAACAACAACCGAAAATGTTGACAAAACATAGAAATTATGTTTTGTCAACATTTAAACCTTTTTAAACAAAGAAAGCAATACAAGGATAAGGCAGACGAATACAGAAAAAAAACTAGAAATAAAACAAAAAATACGAGCAGCTGAAGAAAAGTGGCTTTAGAAATGGAAGAGTTGAAGGAAAACAAGCATGACCTGTTCAAGTTGGAATACAAGAAAGTTCGTGAAGTTATAATAAGAAAAACACTAATACTCTAGTAGATAATGCAGGAAAAGTTATCATTGATGAAAGAGATATATTTGAAACATCAAGTAATTATACAATTGAATTGTTCGAAGATGACATCCCAAACATACATGACTATGTAAATCAAGAAGGACCTGAAATTTGAAAAATCTGAAATCAGTCAAAACCAAGAAAGTAACTGGACCAGACAACATCCCAGCCGAACTCTTAAAAGTAATATAAGGAAACCACATCAGTGCTCTAGTTAAGCTTTTTAATGGTGTATTATACTACTGATTAAAATAACTGAGAAATAACAAAATCTTTTGTTTTCTCTAAGTACAAGGAATTCTTCGGAGGCATGACTTTGGAGCTTGAGAGAGAAAAATCGTATCGAAAATACTTGTTAAAAAGCATATTTTTCTACTTAATTAAATTATTATACATTATAGAGAATATATATTGTCGATTTCACTTGAGTCATGCATTTAATTGGCACTAATAATTAATGTAGGAATGGTACTGAGTAGTCATGTAAATGTGTTTGGATATAACCCCTGTAAGGCTAACAATACAGTCATTACTTGTAACAGTATACAATATAAGTACGTTATATAAATACAAATGCTGTATTTCATTTTAAACTAAAAATTCCGTATCAAGGAAACACGAAAATCTTTGTTCAGGGCGTTTTTATCTCAGTATGTATTTTCAAGTGTGTACTATGTATAGCACTATTAAAGCAGCAAATTAGTAGCAATATTTGTCAGCTAAGCTCGGCTCAATTTGGTTTATTCGTTGCCTATTTAATCTCAAGTTACAATCACACTTTCAAGTACGCCACACTCATACATAAATAATTTATTTTTCTACAAACATTTTCTACTACACATAATAACAGTTTAATATACTTTAGAATTCATATACAGAATCTATTTGTAGAAAAATTAGCGAGCAAAAAATTTTAGTCACTGAGAGAGAATCATAATATTTACTTAACAATAGTTTTTAAGTTACTAAAGTCTATGTGTACAAATGTTAAACACAAAATTTAAATAGTAACGGGGAGTTAAGAGGAGATTGTTTTGTTAAAAACTATAGCGTTGTGATATTTTAAAAGTAAGAATTATTTACCAAAATATACACTATTAGTAGTACAAGATCTAGTACCAAAATATACACTATTAATAACTAGAAAAAAAGATTCCAATGAACAAATATTTACTACCAAAGAGAAAAGTGATAAGTTGGAAGAAGTTAGCAATATGTTTTGGGAGCTTTACAAAATCACTATGATTGTGAGGTATTCAATAGCATAATTTTTCACTAGCACTATGTTTCTCACATTAAATGTACAATCTTTTATATTATAACTTTAAAGGATATAACGTTAGATTACAAGAATTGTATAGGGAAATGTGACAAAAATATGGTAAGCCGGATATTCAAGAGTAAAGAGGGTAAAAAAGGATAAAAAAGATCGAATTTTGTTAGATGGAAGAGTGGCGACTAAAAACTAAAGAGGGCAAGAAGATAAAGAGAGGAGGAACCAATGGAAGGTATTATCTCAATCTTGACCAAAGTACGGCAACAATACCACCATACACTTTAAGGTTAAGACAAAAGCGACGGACCTTTCGTTGGATTGTCAGATAGATCATCGCGAACGAAATAATCAAGATGGCGGAAAATATAAGACAGTTTCAATAAGTTTAGTTTAGTTTAATAGAAGCTTAAATATTTTTAATTGGTTACATTTTAAATATTTTTGGAAATAATTCAAAGTCAAATATTACATCTTCATAAATATCAAATATACAGTGTGTTTCAAAAAGGTATGTCATAAATTAAATCACGCATTCAGGGGACAAAAATAAATTGATTGAATTCAACTTACCTTAGTACAAAAGTGTACACAAAAAAAGTTACAGCCCTTTGAAGTTACAAAATAAAAATTGATTTTTTGCATTACCTCCTAAACTACTTGACATTTTCTAATAAAAATGGACACGCTACTTTCTTGTTCTGAAAGCATTTTTCATACAAAAGAAACAACAAAATCTAAGCGCACAGACAAATTTTAAGAAGGGTGTGCAGCTCTAAGCCCCCCAAACTTCTGAGTACGTTCAAATCAAATAAATTTTGTGGCAACATTAGTTTAACACATTATTTGCTTATAAAACTTTTTTGCCTTTTATTACTTTTTCGAAAAACTAGTTTTTTCCTAGTTAGTCATACAATTACAATTAGTTTCTACGGATACAATAATTACAAACAATTCCATCAATAATAGTCAATAATTTGAAGCTATCATTTATTGTGTGAATAAGATTAATATTAAAAAT